TTCGCTCTCCTTTTCAATAATGCGGTCCCACCATTTTTGACATACGCTTCGAAGAGTTAGAATCCTCGAAAGGAGGATCTGTCAGCGTCATCTTGTGCGCAGTGGAAGGATAACGCTTGGAATCTTCAGCTAAGCGCGTGTAGAGCAGAATGCAGCGTTCCGAGATCCGTCAATGAACGGAGATTAGAGGTGCTGTTTATGCCGTGGAATCAAAGGTGGGCCCGACACATCTGGTCCGAAGTTGTCAAAATTGGTGATGGTCTTGAGGCTCCGGGGCAAACGTCGCAGCTGTCTCTCCAAGCACTGGAGAAAAGAGTCTAGCCGGGAGAGGGAGATGTTTCCATCCTGTGTAGAAGATCGGCACAATAGCGACACCACTCAGGTGCTCTTTCGATTAGAGGCCCAGTTCAATAGTTCGTACACAGTTGAAAAGGGGTTTTTCGACGATCTCCTAGAATTACCCAGTGACGCCCAAGGGCAACACAAAGAGCGCTGTCGGAACTAAAACTCAATAGACAGGGCATAATATGAGTCCATTACCGGATTTGCCTACGTCCAGTCCACAAACCGATGATATGTCAGAACTATTCGCATCAGGAACCACACGTTCAGCATGCAATCAGCTGATCACCGAGTGGTGACGGGACTGTTTATTCTGATATTTTCTTAGCTGCTGCGGTCATTTTTTCAGATTTGTACCTTACGAGGATGTAAAAGGTGGGTCAACTTTGCTGTGAATTGTGTTTTTCTGAAATCACACTGGGGTTTTTGAGTGTATCGACTGAACATTTTTATCCGCTCCAGGATCCGTACGCAATACTGTACATTGTACAGCTCATCCAGAAGCCCCTTCTGCTTCGTTTTTCTGGCCTCATTCTCGCCCAGCCCCGACGTTTTCGAAGTTGATATTTTTGGAAACACCAATTTGCGTGCTTTCTCCGTCTCCTTCGCGCTATTTTCCACCTTCTCTTTCACTTTTCGTCATAATCTGGATGACCCAAAATCATCGTAAACTGTGCCTCCGAGATGTTCTTTTTTTAATGTATGGTTGTCCTCCAGGTTACTTCCGAGTCCATCGCGAGTGGAACTGAGTTGTAATTTGGTGAGTCGACGTGATTGACTCGGACATTCTTTCTCTCCCCAAATCCATTAGGATGCGTAGATCCCGATGTAGAGTTCTGCAGCCGTCTTTGGGCTCAATCCTCGCGTTAAAGTTACCGACGATGAGCATGAAGCAAATATGGTCCTTTACAATGTAATGTAGAACATTTTTCAATTCGGTATGAAATCCTTGTAACTAATCCTCTTCGTACCTTTCGTCCTCATTTTGGTGAAGGTTGTTAAAGTTGGGGTTGAGTCACATTTTCTCAACCGCGAAGGTCCGGTGCTGGTTGTCAAGCATCCGTATAAATCGCTGTTTATGGCCAAATCTCGTATAGAATCCCGGAACAACAGCGACTTTCCGATTGATTATGTGGTCTAATTCATCATGGAACTGTTCACCGAGGGTTTCTCATGTCCACTGTAAATGAAAGGGCTTGCGAGTTACCGTGCATAATGTGGGTCGACATGATAAACTCGCAGTCTTTCCCCTGCTCATTCCATTAGGTTTCATGGGTCTCATATGTAGCTCTTCAACCATTCGAGTGTGGCCAATTTTGGCGTTGAATTCACCCACGAATAACTTGAAGAAAGTGTGGTCCTCTCTGGAAAGCCTTCCCAGATTCACCCAAAACGCTTCTAGTCTCTCCTCTTCGTATCGTGATGTTGGTGCGTAGGCAACGAAGATTGTTAGAGCTGGGGTTGAGCCATATCATCTCAATCAAAAAGGTCCGATCGTCGGGTTGTCTTGCTTTTGTACGATGCGATGCTCATGGTCGAGCGCGTGTTTAAGAGGACCCATGCACCTTCAGTGCATCTGCTGCAGGATGTTTCAGGGAACAGTTCTTCTTATGTCTCGAAAACAGGCGATGCCTTTTCGTCTGAGTCTTACCCAACGCCGCCTTACTGAGGCTCCGTCCATACCTTTATCTACTGTGCGCCCCTGAGTGGGTGCTACTGACTTTCGGTCTGCACTTTTTTCCTACGTGACGTGATACCGAGCGGCGAGAGAACTTCCACTGGTAGTTTCCCCTGGTGGAGGAGATCCATCATGCTATTTTTGATTTATTTCTAGTTGCAGATAAAAAGAAGTCATGACGGTAGTCAATTTTGTGCACGTACATACTAGCTCCTTACGTGCTATAGCACACTCTTCCTCGGCTTTAAATGCCGTATAGCCGCTCATGGCGTTAACAGCTCGTGATTGAGCTGATATACAGTAGCGCTCAAAAGTCTTCGGTGAAATGATTTGACGGTTTTTCGTTCATAAATTTTTTTGTTAGTGTACC